CTAAGCTTACAATGGGGAGCCAGCCAGGTATAGATTCAAATTCCAGCTCAGTGGGTCTCAATCCTGGCTGGAAGTGACAGACACCCAAAGAGATGAAATGTTAAGATGCCTATATTCATTTCAAAATAATGGGGGGGGGGGTAGTGAGAGGGGCACAAAGGAAATGAGTCACTTTTTGAGGCTTGATGATAGGTTCATGGGGTCCATTGCACAAGTCTACTTCTGTGTATGCTTCACAAAAAATAAAATAATAACAACAACAAGGACTTAAAAACAAACAAGCAAATTAAAAAAAAAAAAAAAAAATCAAACCTATGTCCATTCCCCACCCATGCAGCTGAATCAGAATCTCGGGCTCCAAGGCATTGTTATGGTTTCAAAACTCCTCATGTGACAATAGCAAAGGTGAGAACTGCTGTCCACATTCCATCATGCCCTAGCTACGTGGTCCCAAGCCAGCGTTTCATCACCCATTGAGCTTCCATCTGTAAAACGGGGATAAGGATTTGTGGTAGTTAAGGTTATATGATAACTTGGCTGGACCTGGTTTTGAGTGGCTGGGCAGCTGGATGTAGTGATTCCCTTTGATGAGACTGGTAATCAATTCCATGGTGGAATTTACTGTGAGTAGCTACCTTAGGGATATGGTTTGCTTCCGATAAAGCAGCAGCTTTGAGAAAGGTCTCTGAGCTTCCTGGTACATCTGGATATTGCGTTTGTCTAAGTCTTCAGTGAGTGGCCTGCCATGTTGTCTGCTGATCTTGCGACTGTTTCTGGACTTGAAATAGTGGCATGCTTTGTTGCTGGATAATCTTTGGACCGTGCTGTTTTACTTGTCGATCTCGGGCTTAAGAAATGCCTCCAGCTCTAGTGGGCCGGAAGCAAGAGGCACAGCTGAAGCCCAGTGTTGAGGGGCCTTCACCCTGGAGCTGGTACTCTGAACTTGGACTTCCAGCCTCCTCAACTATAAGAGAATAAATCTGTTTGATAAAGCCATGCATTTGTGGTATTTTCTCTTAGAGCAGCACTAGAGAACCCAAACAGGATTCTAATGCCTAATGAAATCGTTAGGGAGTTTAAATGGGATAAAACAGCATAACAAAGGCTTGACATAGTCAGTAACAGGTATGAGCAAGTCTGCCTGGGTTTTGCAGTCTTTCTGAGCACAGCTAGGTCCCTGCCCCAGGTGGGTGAGGAGCCCTAAACCAGTACATGCGCCAGAGACCTGGAGATGGCCTCCCAGAGACACCACATCCTCTAGGCAATTTTTACACATTTGCCCAAAGCACAGGGAATTCATCAGCTAGAGGTACTTCTTCATCTGTCTCTCCTCACTGTACAAGAACATATGCACCGCTTCCCTTCTTTGGCCTATTGATGAGCACATGTGTGCAACCACATATGGAGGTTGTGCCTGGGTCTGAGCAGGTGGAGTATTTCTGTGAACACGCTGTTATCTAGTCGATTCCATACTCACAGGAACCCCGTAGGACAGAGAATTGCCCTGTAAGTTTTCCAATGTTGTAATCTTTATTAGAGCAGACTGCCACATCTTTCTCCCATGGAGTTTGAACTGATGATCTTTTGGCCAGTAGATACCTGCTTTAACCACTGCACCACAATGGCTCCTTACTTCTGTGAAAGTAAGGGTGAATGTGTGCAAACTCAGGCCACGAGTGAGTCAATGGTGTTGACAAGCATCTGTATTTGTGTTGGGTATGCTCACCTGGGGTACACTGGCTTGTGGGAAACAGGTGGGCAGCTCATCTCTCCTGTGTCTGTCCCTGAGACACATGTTCCAGATCCACATTTATTCCAAGTCAGTCAGCACAAGGACACCAGAGTCACTCAACGTCACCACCAGAAGGACAAGTGAAGAGGATGGAGGGAAAGGCCTATGCTTTCTCTGCTGGCCTTGCCACTGGCTTCCAGGACTGAGCCTCAGTTTCTCCATCTGTGTAAGGTGGAGAGTAAAGTGATGGACAGCCCTTAGCAAGGGATACCAAACAAACAGTTGCTGTATGGGCAATTCCCATGCATAGCAACTCAATGTGTTCCAGAATAGAAACAGGTTTTTTAACGGCCCATAGGGTATTCAATGGCTATGACCTTTCAGAAATAGATTTTCAAGTTTTTCTTCTGAGATTGCCAACCTTTCTGTTAGTAGCCCAGTTCATAACTGTGCCACCCCAGAACTCCTTGGCTATGGGTAGGCACTTGGAAATCATCGGTGAATGAAGGATTGAATGAATGCATGCATGTGTGAGGACCACTTCAGTATGGCAAACAAGGTGACTTGTCAGAGCCTCTAGGGTGGCAGAGGAAGCTACTCAGGCTGGGGAACGGCCTGGGATGCCTGGACTTATCACCTTTGGAATACGGAAAGCAAGTCGAGAACAACCGGTAGAAGCTGGAGCAGGTGGAGAGGCGCGGGGGAGACAGTTCAAAGCGGAAGGGAAGAAAGGAGAAACAACAGGGAGGGGACTCTCAGACACTGTCCCAAAAAGCCGCACGAAAGTAGAGGCGCGGGGTCTCGGAATGACTACCCAAGCCCGCGGTCTGCACGCTAGCTGGGGTTCGCGATCTTCATCCAGCTCCATTGTGCTCCGCAGCGCCGCCTGGCGGACACGCGGCGCTCCGCTCCGGGTGCCGCAGCCTAGGCCTGGCACTTAGGGAATCCGGCGACTGTGAAGGAGACAGGGCGAGAGAGCGAAGAGGCACCCCACGGAGAGGAGCCTTTGTCCCCCAGCGGAGACTTGCACCTCGGCCTGAACTCTCAGCACACACTAACACCCTCCCTTCAATAACTCCGCGCTAGGGTTGACTTGGCCACATCCAACACGTCTGGGAGCCCTTTTTCTCCCCAGCCCGTGGTTCCCCCAGCTCTGGAATTTTGCTGTCTCTGTGTAGCTCCTCTAGGAAGGGGATCGCATTAAAAATTCAAGGGGGTTTGTTTTTATTTTGGTGAAGGGAGAAGAGGGTGCATGAAAGCACAGACACCTCCCGGACGATCCCAGGCCTGAATCCCAGGGTGGGGGAATTTCTAGATCCTTCCTCACTCAAGTGTTACCCACTGGGCCAGATGTGATGGCCCAGGAACCCGTGTCCCGAAACGCGAAGCAAAGGAGGGTGAAATCTGTGGGTCGGAGTGGCCAAGGGGATGTAGCGAGTGCTGTCGAGAGGGTCAGCGGAAGGCCTGGCTTTCAGGTCCCAGTTCTGAGGCACTGGAGTCGCTCGGGCTGCACCTCTTTCTAGGACCCTCCGCGGTCGTTCTCCCGTCCCACCTGGGGGGTCTGTCAGCTTGAGGGTGACTAGTTGCCTAGTTGGCCGGCGTTCTTGAGGCGTCAGGCCAGCCTAGCCTCCGTCAGGACCGTCTGCTGGGGTCCTTCTCGGGTGCGAACTCCGGTTCCCGACGTCCCGGGGCGTCCGGGTGTCAGGCTGCTCCCTCCGCGAGACAGCAGTGGAGTTTGAGACTCCACCAAGTCCTCTCCGGGCGGCGGCCTAGGAACGCCCCGCGGCGCCCTGGGGGTGGCCCGGGCTGTTGTGCGTCCAATCCGGGAATAGGCCCCGCAGCCGCGAGGCTGGCGCTGAGAAGAAGGTGGAAAATCTCAAAGTCATCAAGCCCCGTGCAAATGGCAGCCCAGGCCGCGCGGTGGCAGGACCCAGGCCTGAGGCCGAGTGCGAACTCTGCGTGGTAGTAAACTACTCTCTCCCCAGAGCCAGCGGCGGCAGCCGGACAAGGAGAGAGCCCCAAGGCTCGAAAAACCCAAACCGGCTTGACCCCCGCGAGAGGGGAGTTCCGAGTGCTTGCTGAGCGCACTACGTGATCCTAGGATCCCACGAACGCGCGCTCTGAGCCCAGAGCTGCGGCGGACTCGAGAGTGCGAGCCCTCAGGTCTGAAGAGTATGAGTGCGGGGAGGGTGGTGACTGGACCTCAGACCCACCCACCCCCCGAGAAAAAAAACAAAAGATCTTTTTCCTGCGTGACTCCATCGGCGCTATAAGCAGTCCCGCGGCCCAAGATAGGGAGATAGGAGCGGCACGCACAGCGGAGATCTGCACCCAGACTGAGCGTCCGTGGTGCCTCTGCCCAGCGGAGCTCGCAGCCTGGCACGCGGTGTCCACCTGGTCGTCCCTACGAGGCCGAGAATGAGCACCAGGACCCCCTCAAGGTAGAATTTGGAGGGGCTTCCGGGTCTGGCGCCCCGGCGCGCTCTCCTAAAGCGCGAACCAGGACAGAACTCTGGCCACGGAGAAACCAGGACAGGGAAAAGCAGCCTCAGCGCAGGACCACCGTGTGTCCGGACTCTAGAGGGATGGGTGGGTGGTTTGTGGGACAGAGACCGGCCAGCAGCACCCTGCGGCCCTTGGCTACCAGAAGAAAAGGAGAGCGAACTCACTTTGCCCTAAGGGACAGAGAGTGTTCCGGCACGTCCTTCCTAGACCCCGGGAAACAGGTTCCTCAAGCGCCCCAGCGTCCCCCAGTCAGGCTGCCCGCCCCAGGCAGGGGATGCTTGGGAAACCAAGGGAAGGAAAGCGGGCAGCGGCGCGTACCCCTGGCGAAGGCCGGGTCGGCGAGTCCGGACCTGAGTGGCTCTTCGCACAAAACGAAACCCAATAGCCCAAAAATCTCCAGGGGGATATTAAAACAAACAAACAAACAAAAAAAAAAAAACCGTTTTTTTCCCCCCTCTTTCACTTTCAACAATCCGGCCGCTGGGAGAAAAATAAAAACGAAATGAGCAATAGCGAAGGATATCATCTTTCCAAATTAGGTAATTCTCTTTTTCAAAAATCTTTTCCCAAAAGCCAGCCCCGCAGAGGCAGTCCTCCCGAAGCCTATGCCTCTTCCAGAAAATCACAACAAAACAATCGAAAATGCGGCTACAGTCTTGGGCAGGAGTAGCCGCGAGGCCCCAGGCACCTAGCGCCGAACTGCGCTCTCTTCTCTCTCCGTAAACAAAAAAATAAAAAAATAAAAAAAAAAGAAGTAAAACCCTTTAATACATCAAATATACGGAATTTTAATCTTTAAAGCAATACATTGTCTATTATTTTAGTACATGACGTAAACCTTACTTGTCCCCTTCTCAGCGGGTAGACTTAAAAATTAAAAATAGTTAAGTGTTCCTTTTAAAGAACAAAATAAGGCAAATGAGGTTTTGGAATAGAATTGTTTTTCCTTTTTTTGTTGTTTTCTTCCAGAATACATACAAAAAAATACCCATTCTCTTTCGATGGTATATACCTTAAAAATAATTGCAATTTGAAATCAGAGCTGACAAATTGTGACTTTTGTTTTGTTTTTTCATTTTTTTTTGTAACAAACATGCATGTAAATTTGTGTTTCAGTCAGACATTAAATAAGAACGGTACAATACAATCATAGCAATTTTAAAGTAACACTGAAGAGAAGACCTCTAGATCTGTAGCGGTTTTGTTTTTATTTATAATCTACAAGGGATGGGAGGGTTTGTTTTCCACATTTTTACCCTCAAGTTTTATTTTTTTTTTTCCTCCTCCTTTTTACCTACGGAGCTCAAACTAAATAATGCACTTTTGAACCACGGGTCCGCTTGGAGCTAACATAAATAAATACCAGTGTTCACCAACGCAGTCCTCAGATGAACACTTTCTCAATTTTTTTTTTCTATAAAAAGTCAAATGATATTGTTTTCAACTTTTATAAAGTTTGGGTGGGGAGGTGAGAGGTAGGGGGAAAGGGGAGTTTCCCACCGGGTCTCGATCGCTGTTGTTGGATAGATAGATACGGTATATATATTTTTTTCCTTGCATGGCCCGGGTTTTCTCTACGCGCGGTGTCTGTAGCTTCTGCCCTGTTTCTGCCCCTCCCAGAATTCCACCCCCTCCCTCGGCTCCTCCTCTCCCCCAATCTTCTTTCTCTTTCGCTAGCCCTCCCAGCCGTCCTCACTGATACCCCAGCGCCGAGGCCGTGGTCAGTCTCTGTCCGTAGAGGGCGTAGGGAGAATAGTAGGGTCCGGTGGCAGCGGGTACCGGCACGGGGGCGCCGGGAGTGGGAAGCGGGCTCTTGGAGTAGGGGTGGTATCTGCTGCTGAGTCCCAGCGCGTGGTGGGGGCTTCGCAGCGCCAGCGTCCCAGGGCTGCCTGGTGCGCCCGACGTAGGGATGTGCATGTGACAAGCCATGGCTGCCGCAGCGGCACTGGCTAGAGACGACGAGCTGGGATAGCCCGACAGCAGTTTGTCCGTCCCGGGGAAGGCCGTATGCGTCCTCAAGTGGCTCAGCAGCTCTTCGGACGTGGCGAAGCGCTTGTCGCACGGCCCGTTGGCCGACACCCAGTTGCAGATGTGGGGGAGCGGGTCATTAGGAAGCATGAAGCCGTAGGGGTAAAGGGGGTGGCCGGCCAAGGAGGGCGGTGTAGCACCCGCTGCAGCGGCTGCTGTTAGCGACGAGTGCACGCCGTGAAGCGGGTGTGTGGGGTACACCAGCGGGTATCCAGACTTGAGCGCCGCGGCCGCAGCGGCCGGGTCGTGCGCGCACGATGCACTGGCGGCCGCCGCCCCTGCCAGGTGGCTGGCGCAGTGGTAGCTGAGGCAGTACGGGTCCCGGCACAAACTGGCTGTCATTACAGACGGCGGCGACGCCCCGGCCAAGGGGCTGGAGCCAGCCGGTTTACTGCAGCCCAGAGAGCCGGCCGCGGCCGCCGCCAGCTGGGCCCCCACCAGGCTGCCCGGCTTGGTGGGGTCGAGCGCCACGCCGTGCGGCAGGAACTGGGGTGGGTAGCCGGCATAGGCCCCGGCCAGGCTGCCTGGGTAGGTCATGCCTGCAGGAGGCAGAGGAAACACTGTCTGGCCGGGCTTGTAGGGCGACACTGGCGCCACTAGCCCAGAACCCAACACCGAGGAGGAGGTGGGCGCACTGGGGCCCGAGACGGAGCTGGAACCGGATGAGCCGCCGCAGTCCGAACCTAGAGCCTTGCCCCCTGGGCCCCCGTCCGTGTGCTGGTTCACGTCCACATTAATCCCGCCGCCGCAGCTAATCCGACCGTGGGCCAGCCCCGTAGGACCCCCTTCGGCCGCAGCGCCCCCAGTGCCCTTGCTGCCGCCGCTGCCACCCGCGTCGGGGTCCTTCTTGTCGTCCTTGCCCTCCGGGCCGCCCCCAGCCGAGGGCAGCATGCCTCCTGGCGAGCAGGCCGAGGCGCTGGAGCTCGGGCTGCCTGTCCTGGGCGTAAATGGCTGGCAGGTGGCGCTCGGTACCCGGAATCCCGACTTCTCTGCCGAAACCCCCCCGCCGCCGCCCCCGCCGCCCCCGCCTCCTCCTCCGCCTCCTCCCGGCTCCTTCTTATCCGAGCCGGGTTTGGAGTACGGCTTGAAACTCGACTTGTCCTCCACGCCGATGTCACTCAGTTTGAGGGGGCCCGACTTGGCATCCTTGTCGCCCCCGGCGCCGCCACCGGCACCGCCCGCGCCGCCCCCATTGGAGGCGACTGAGGAGAGTTTGGAGGAAGGCGAGGGGTCGGGCTTCCCGATCTGCGAGCATGTTTGCGCCAACAGTGCCAGCGGGCTCTTCTTGGCATCGAGCTGCGGGGTCAGACGAGGAAGGGGCACACAGAGAGAGAAGGGGAAACCCTTTAGTATTCTGGCATCTAGGGATCAAATGCCCATACACCGGAGACCGCGAAGATCTTCCCAGCTCCGAGGCGCATTTCTAGGTGGCACTCCCCTCCTCCCCACACACACAAATATTCTCCCTCTTGGGAAAGGCGACAGACACCCCATACACAAACGCGCGCGCGCGCACACACACACACACACACACACACGCAAATTCAAGATTTTTCCTGCGCTCTCCTAGCTCTTAACTGGTTTTTTTGGGGGGAACCCTCACAAAGTGTTTTGGTTTCTGACTCCTAGAACCAGAACTGTAGCCCTCTCTCTTACATCCCCCCTTAATTCTTCAGAGTACCGGCTTGGTCAGTTGGCATCTCAGAGGCTGTGTACAAATACCAGCTTCGGGGGTACGGAGGACGGAGATTTGGCTACCAATACCTCGGACTCCCGCCCATCTTGGGTCAGAGTGTGAGAAGGTCTGGGTTGGGGTAAGGCCTTTAATGCCAAAGGCAGAAACAAGTTTCGGCCGTCTCACTAGTCCCCACCGCATTCCACCTCCTGGCCCCTTTCTGCACCTTTTGAGATGCAGCACTGTCCTATTCACCTTCCCAAGCTGAATCACTCCAACCCCTCCCCTAGTTCCAGAAAGAAAGAAACCCCGCGGAGCGACAGCCAGGATGGTAGTCCCAGCGCGATCCAAAGAGAGGTCCTTACCTCGATGGGGCTGACTGGCGTGGAAGGCAGGGGCTGAAGGTACTCGGGGTGCAAAATGTGGCCAGTCCGTGCCGTCAGCATCTTCAGCACCTTAATGGGCAGGCGGTTGGCCTGGCGCAGGGGATCGGAGGGGGGCACGGCGTGCACAAAAGGCTTGGTGCTGCCGGCCGAGGAGCCCGGACCGGGGCCGGAGCTATTTCCAGAGAGCGCGCTGGTCCAAGCAGGGTCCGCACTGCCGCCGCCGCCGCCGCTGTGCTTACTGCTTCTTAGGGCAGAAAGCGAGGGCGCTGTGCTCATGACCCACCCGCTCGCATGGGAGCAGCGGGGGGAGGGCTCCAGGAGGCGCCGGGCGGGCTCCGGGCTGCGCGCTTGCCCGGGGATCAGGAGCAGAAGGAGGAACTTGAGGGGCGGCCACTGGCGCCCAGCGCGCCTTCTCGGCTCCTGGAACCAGAAATGAATAATCCTGGGTAGCCTGTAGCGGGCGAGCAGTGGCCAGGCAGGAGGAGCCGGCTAGACTGCGGAAGTGCCGGGCGGCTTGCCGTGTCTGCTGCGGGCTGCGCCCCTGCGCTGCGCTCTTACGGCCCCGCGCCGGCGCTGCGCTCTACGATGTGAGCCACTGCATGTCCAGCCGGGGCTCTGGCGAGGAAACTCACTTCAAAAGCAGCTGCACCGAGGGGGAGATTAAAGCCTTTGCCGCCTTCCAATCAAATGGGAGCCCGAGGTGATTGGAGGGTCAAGGGGATGTGACGCACCCCGTACCGCCGGTGCCGCCGCCGCCTGGTCTCTCAGCGCTGATTTTAATGGGCAGCGCCCTCCTCACAAGCCCCCCCCCTCCCCGCGTGTCCCCACCCTGGATTTCGCTCGGTGAACTAGATGGACGTTTATTTTACGTTTGCTATTTGCCGCCTCCCTCTTTTTCTCCCCCTCTTCCTTTCTCCTCTCGCAAATAAACGGAAACCTTCTTTTGTAGGGGGGGGGGTGCGTGTGAGGAGCAGACTGCGGGCGTATCCAGAAGGAACATCTGCGAAACCTGGACCCTAGCCTGTGCTCCAGAGGCGCGCAGGGGGCCTTCGCAATATATGTTCTGTTCTCGGTTATTGAGATCCCGCACAACGCAGCCGCCGGGGTAAGGCAAGGTAGGAACAGGGTGCTGGAAGAAGTACGCCCGCCCGCTTTAATTTCCCGAGACTACGTAACAGAGAAACCAGAAGCTACAGGGGCAGCGGCGGCGGTTGCGGCTCCTCCCGGCGTAGTGCACCCGGCTCCCAGCCTTCCTAACCACGTGACGGCCAGGCAAGCTCAGATTGGGGCAGAAGCGGGAATCACATGTTTCCTCTGTTTCACACTCAGTAACAGCACACCCCCCCCATTCTGACTCTCTCCTGCCACCCTTTCTTTCACCTCCCCCCCTTTCTTTGGGTATCTCCACCCCTCCATCAATTGTCAATGTTCCTCGACCGCAATCAATCAGTTATTTGTCAGCTCTTGTCAATCCGCCCGTGATTTATGTCAGCTTTTGTTGCTGATTACAAGGCGGGTGCGACTTGAAGGGAAAAAAAGAGGGAGAGAGAGATGGAGAGGAAGGAAGAGACCGAGGGGGAACCAGAAGAGGGGAAAAGAAGAGTAGCCGCCTGGGATGGGAGTGGGGGGTTGAGAAAAAAAATGAAAGAGGTAAAAGAGGCGCTCAGCGTCAGAAAAATGGTTCGTGAGTGTAATGTGCGAAGGTGCGCCTAGGGCGCGGAGAGGGGTGCGCAGGCCAGGGGTGCCAGCCAAGGCCCTGCCGGTGTTGGAAAGGGAAACATTCTTCTCATCTCTGGCGGTTTTGATCTATTGGGGCTGTGGAGTTCGGAGCGGCTCTGGGTATCGGAGACGGGCGGCGGCGACGTCTAAAACGAGAGGTTATTTTTTTTTCCGGGATAGTCAATCAGGGGCGTGTGGCGTGCGGACGTCAGGCTGCCACTTTGCCGCGGGCACCACCCTCAGTTGTGCCCTCAACCCAAACTCGAAGCCTTCTTTTCCAGAGCCACTCTATCGACGTAACCTAGAGTTCTGGAGATCAATGGTGGGGTAAACCTCTCGGCTCCAATTTTTTGGCGCCCTCGGACTGTGTCTAGTGCCAAGCGGCTAGGAAGGAGAAGAGGCCTGACATTGTGTGCAGGGGGGGGGAGATACTTCTCAGGCTCAATCAGGCTCCCTCCGTAGCCTGCCTCCGCCCCGCGCCGTCCCTGCAGGCTTGGGAACTAGAGTTACAGGGGGCTGCTCTCTTGACTTTATCGGAACGCGGAGCCAAGACTGACCTGCGCAGGCAGAGAACACGGAAGGAGAGAGGGAGGGAGTGGGTGCCTGTGGGAACGTGGGTTCTTCCAGGGAAGCGGAGCGGGACCGCCGCGTTCCCCACGATTTGCACAGTCACTCAGGCTGTTTGGAACGAAGAGGGGAGGCGCTGTGCGCGCCGGCGCGTACCTGCATCTGGTGCACAGCGTGTTTGTATGTCTATGCCACTGTATGAGTTCTCAGGGCTTTGGTAGCAGCCTGAGCGAGCACTGGGGTCACCTCCAGAAACTCGCAGATACTGTGAGGGGGCGACAAGAGGATTCCGCCCCCTCCTTCCTCCGAAAGACTGGGAAGACTTTGAATTTCCCCTCCCCCACTTTTCCGCCCTGGCTCTTCTTTTGTTGTCAAGTCCTTTTGATAAATGGTGGAGCTGGGAGCGCTGGGAGCTGGGAGCCAGTCTGTGCCCGCGCGGGGGGCGGGGGCCGGGCCTGGAGACGCGGTTTCCACCAGCGCGCACCCGGCTTTAGGCCCGGTACGCGAGGGAGCTTGATCGGGGACCTGTCCCTGGCGTGCTCGCCCTCTCCTTTCTCACCCCCCTCCCCATTGCTTTTGACTCTGTCTACGCACTGGTTCTGAGAACTTTCTGGGGTGAGTTTTAGAATTTTCGCGTAGGCATCCTGCGTTTTAATCTTATCCCTTGATTCTCTAGATGGGTAAACTTTATGAGATGGCAACTTGACTAACGATAATTCGGAGATGAGGGGAGTGAGGTGTTTGAAGCCGGTGTTGGTCCGTGTGCGTGCGTGTGTGTGTGTGTGTGTGTGTGTAGGTGTAAGACCACATGTGTGTTCAAGGGGGGGTTTGGACTGTCTGCCTATGCGACCACCCAGTAGGGTGAGTCCGTGAGTTTGTGGAGAGGGCACACGCGAGGTTGTGAAGGTTGTCTGAATGGTCCTCGGGGAGCGAGTTCCAGGTGCTTGTTTCTGAGAGAAGAACAGTCCTCAACTCTGCGGGCAGCGCGTCTGTGAGCCCGCTTAGTGTTCTGCGGGTGTGTCAGTGTGTGCCTATGGCGATGAATGCTCGGCTGTCGAGGTGTGGGCCTGGACCAGTTGCAGAGCTCCCAGAGCACGAGCCCAGCCTTGGGCCGCGTGTCATCGTGGCCTCCCGCCAGACCCCAGCATTAAGTACTATGATCGCAGCTAGAGGGGGGCTCACAACCTCAGAATTCCCGTCTCTGCTCCCCCAGGCACAGTTTCCAGACGCAGCCTGAGGCTCTTTCCCTATCCTCTAACTCCAGCAGCTTTCTTACTCCCGAAGGCTCAAGGGCGACAGCCCCAGCACCCAAAGCCTCGGGGAGCCCCGCATCCCCAGGCACCGGCGTGCCGCGGTGTGTTCGCACATGTTTGTGGGTCTGCGCGGTGCTGCCGGGTTGTCCGCGTGCGTTTCGCACTTCGCAAAACTCAACTCCAAAGGTCCGAGCGCACGGGGGCGCCTGGGGGCCTTCGCGGCCGGGGTGTTCGAGAGGCGCTAGCATCCGAGCCTGCTCACCTTGCCGCGGAGGCCAAATCCCCAAGACCAAGCGGGCCAAAAGGAGGGGATTATTAATTACTTGGTTCTAGGCCTCTTGCCTCCAACACCCAGCGGCGGTTGGCAGGGATGTCCTGCCGATTTTATTTGCACACAATGGAAATGATTTGTTTTCTCTAAAAAAGGAGTGGGTTGGCAGATATTTGAGGAGGGGTTGAGAGGAGGAGTAGGAAGGGGCGAGAGCTGAGGAAAAAAGTTTGAAAATGCCTTGAACTATTCACTGTCGAGATGGCTAATCAGTATTGAGGCCGGAGGGCAGGCGGGCCGCCTTTCACCACCGCTTCCCTTTCATCTCGGGCTCGGCGGAGGCGCTCAATTAAAAGCCTATCAGTTTGTAAGTAAATCAACGCCTATCAGAGTTGTCACATCAAACAAAACGATTATTATTGCAGCCCGCCTCCCCTATTAATCTCCCTCGAAGATAATCCGCCTGACAGGTCAGACCCGGCGAGCTGGAAAGCCTGGCCCAGAGCGCCCAAACAGTCCCGGACTGGCGCGCGCCCCCGGGGGCTTCCCCACCCCCGCCTTGCGTGGCTGTGCGAAGGGAGTAGGGGAAAAAAAAGAGTGCGCCAAGGCTGCTGGACCCAGGCCGGACCTGCCCACTTGGGAGCGGGGCACAGAGTGCTGGGGTGATGGAGGGTCCGGTGCGGCCCTGGCGGCTTCCTGAAGCCTAGAAGGCATTCGGCGTACTGGAGCCGCGGCCTGGCCTGGTCCTGGGACCTCGCCACATCCTTCTCCTTTCTGCACTTGCTTCCCCAGGCTTCTCTTTTCTTTCTTTCTTTGTCCCCCTTTTGTTGCCTTTTCCGCTTCTTTCTTGGCTTCTTAACCTTTTTCTTCGTTATTTCTTCTTATTTCCCTTTTTCCTACTTTGTCGAGAGGTATTTTCTACTCCCTTTCCCTCCTCTTGGTATACCATATGTACCACTTAGTGGTGGTACATCTCTCTCTAGAGTAGGGACCGGGTTACTTTTCTCGCGTGAATGCTGTTCCAGAAGTGTGTGCAATTCCTAGGAACTCAAGACAAAATCCTCCCTAATTTCTCCCCACACAGGGGTTCTCAGAAGCTCTGCGCCTATTTAAGGGTGGGGTATGTTTGGAGAGTTGAGGAGAAAACGGAGAGACCAGGACAGGGAGATGGTGCACGGTTGCAAGCATTCCATTCGGGAATTGGTCTTGGAATATTTACAGCTGCAACGCCGCAGACCATGTTGATGTCCTTGCCTTGGCTTTGCAAATATGTGGAGGAGACCCACGAGGCACTAGGCGTCTCAGCACCGAGTATGTGAGGGAGTGCCTACTGTTTCATATAAAAATACAGTTAGATAACAGCTCCCATGACTTCTAACTGGCGCTCGCGGGCCAGGTGGGGCCTGGCTTCAGGACGAGCTCCAAATTGTAGACTTCTTCCGGGTGTCTTCCGACTTCGCGCATTGGGCATCATGGAACCAAGCTCCACTCGCCCCTCTCCGCGCTCTTGCTCCAAGTCCATAGGCCCGACCGGCCGCTACCGACGCCCAATGGAGGCAGGATTGAGGATGGTTGAAGATGTTTGAGGAGAAAGGACTATTGGCAGGATCCCGTCCTACTACCCTTCCTGCGTGGTTCAGCTCCCGCGGAACGCACTCGGCGTCCCTGTCTGAGAGAACTCCCAAGGCGCAGCAGTCCTGGACGTCCGGGGTCGAGCCTCTCTCAGCGGTCACGCCTGGGTCTAAGGGAGGAGATTTTGCGTATCGAAGAGTCCACCTTAGTGTGCTTAGCGCCCAGTGCT